GCCATTTTCCATTTTGCCTCTTTATTTTTAAACATTTTCACTATGTAATTAGCATAAATTGCAATATTTTTTATACAACACTAATTGTCACACTGACACACTATACATCATTAAATAGGCATTTTGGTCCTTTATCAGTATGTGATAAAGGTTACTCAATATATTTACATTTAAAAAAGTTATTAAATGAAATGTCCCAAATTTTTACAACAAATGGGTACATTAATTCTTTAATTTTTCTATAACTATCAAATGCGTTTAATTATACAAATTATTTCTGTACTATCGTAATCTATATACCATATGCTAACTAAATATCATATTTACAACTCTTAGAACACAAAAATATTCACATTATTTTCAATACAAACTATTGCGCAGTTAAAGCCTTAACAGTGGTTGAAATGCCTAAATCTAGGATATTTAAGTAAAAAAATCTCAATAACTGTTCATTTAATCCACAAAGAAAAAATACAAGGTAACAGAAGAAGATTTGGTAAATGTTTTTAATTTAACAAAATTGTATTTTTCTCAACCCCTTATTAGAATAAAAATCCCCAAAGAGTACCTATCTTTGTCATATTTTGCAAAATTTCTCCAAAACGGCACAAGCTTTTTAAATAGTTCTTACACTAAAAAAAAAGTCTTAAAAATATTAATATTTTTAATTGAGAGTTTTATTTTTATTACCCGTTTTATAAGAGAATATATCATTTTTCCCTGAAATTGAATATATTTACGCGAGCGCGCATGCTCCGTCGCCATGTAAGCTCTGTCACAGTCCGTTTTCGGACATCGTCGAGGGTGGACCGCACGTCGGTGTTGGAGCGACTTCGTTCAAATGTATATTAGTTTTTTAAAAGTTTATACTCAATTATAAATATTTTTATGACTAGAAATACTTAATTTAGTTAATATCTGTACACTGGTAACTGTAAATATTATTTTCTAAATAAATTAATTTTTAAAGTGCCCAAAGAAGAAGAAATTTTTGAGGCGACGTTGATTAGTGAAATTGAAAAATGCATTTTTATATAATTTAGATGTGGAACGACGAACATGCTCTCGTTACTTAGATTTCGATAGTTTTTAATACCTATGTAATTTTATTGTTGCATATTTTTATTAATTAGTTGATAATGAATTTTATAATTATGTATTACAATAAAACGCTCTTTTTATAAGTATGACTTTATAAAATCTTATTGGGGAGAGAAATAAAGATACAGATACTTACATTTAGAAACACTGTTATCAAATTAAATCAAACAATTTAAATAAATAAAAGAATGGTGCTTAACTAAGTATAAATAACTATACAAAGACATTCTTGGGTTTTTGGTTTTTTTATGTTAGACAAACTATCATCTAAAAAATGTAAAAATTTTAAATTGGAGAGGGGTTTCTCTACGTGATAAACTTAGAAATGAAGGTATTTGCATTAGAATCAGAGTAACTGACATAGCTCAACGGAATATTACAGTGAAATGGCAATGGGCTAGCTATATAACTTGGAAAACATATAAAAAATAGGAAGAAAGGTCCTCGAGTGGCAACCTCGTACAGGTAAGCGAATTAGTACTCAACCTTTATTCCTCTTCACGTATTCTCATACACTTTTTTTCACACATACACACACACACACACACACGCACACGCGCACACACACACACACACACACACACACGCACACACACACACACACATACACAGATAGGTCGCAAATAATACTTACCTAGTACTATTAGGCAAGAGTGAATAGGTTTTTGTTAAGTCAGTGCAATTCACCATCTTAGACTACATAACCACTTACCGATGGGATTGTAGTTGCTTTACTACTTGCTGGGTAAAAATAGTAAAAAAAAAATTTACCCTGTGAAAGTTTGCATTTAGATATAATTTTTCTAACCAACCATAAAAATATGATGAGAATATGTATATAAGTATAAATGTTGCCTCACACGGAACAGTAATAATATAATATTATATCTTCCATTATCTCTGAAATCCGAGGTATGTTCATATTAAGAGGCTGAATAGAGCCACATTGAAATGCATGGGGATCGTTTTGTAATTTCACGTCATTATCGAAAAAAAATTGTACGTATTTTAGGTGGCGGTTTGCAAAACACGATTCCACAAAAATTAACTCAATAGAAAATAATTGCAAAGTTGCTTCTAAAAATACTTAAATTTTCAACGTCAATTTTTTTTTACGTGGTAGAGCCATTCTACAGCTATATTTATTAGGTATAGTTGTAGCACGAATGGGTCGGCACGACCGGGGAAGGGCCACGCTCTCACGGAATAACATGTAAAATAGCAGTTTAACTCTGCTGTAAAGTGCTATTTAGAATTTTATGCAAATGATAATTAAAGTTTCTATGTAAATAAGTGTAACATAGCGGGTATTATATTTAATGGTAGCGGCCATCCGTATTGGCAAAGCCAGCATCATTTTCTGTACAAAAACCGGCAAAGTGTTGCTCAAGGCACTATAAACAAAGCAGCTGATAAAATGTTACACTCATAACTGTTAACAAAAACTGTTTTCGCAAATGGTATTATAGATAATAATAACTATTCCGCCGTGTTAGGTGCAGGAGCTATTATTAGAAGGAGAAGAGGTAAAATTTTGTTTTAGAAATGCGCAATCAATATTGTTTTGTCTGCAATTGAGCATAAAATAAAAAAATAACTTCAGCCAAAGAGCATAACTGGCATTATACTCAGGCCCATCAATTGGTATGGAAAAAATAATTTTACCAGGTCTTATAAAATCAATCAAAATTAAAAAAACATAAATATTAAAATCAAAAAATGTAAATATGTATGTCTATACATACATATAATGATTTATGGCCGCTTAGTAACTGACGGTGACTCACTATAACATCCTACAGTCACGCCGAAACTAAGAGGAGAGAATCACTGTAGAAAAGGTAATAATTTATTGCGGAAATTTTATGATAAAATTAAAAAAGTTATAAACTTATCCAAGTTAATCTAACTTAGTCTAACTTATCCTTATGCGTACAAAAAAACAAATAATAAAATAGTGAGATGGCGTCAGTTTTTAAGAAGATATAACAAAAATAAACAAAAAAATAAATTTCAATAAAGTTCAGTATTTAATTGATTATATACCGCTGACACTTAATCACGCTTTTCGAAACCACGCCAGTTGTAAACAATACTTGTGTGAAAAGACAAAATTTCTTTTCAAATTTCCGCTGAGTTGTAAGTAGAAGGCCAAATAGGTCACGTGTCAATTTTAATTAAATATATTTTATATGAAGTGATCTTGACTACGTTTCATCAATTAACCATTGGTAAAAATTAAAACAGGAATTTTACGATTGTGTTTACAAAAAACATTATTAGTTGAACCTTGCAGCTTGTTCATTATTTTTATTATAAATACCTATAAATGTATATATTATTAATAAATAGTTCCCATAATATATTGGATTATTTTTTATTTTGCCCTATCTGCAATGTTCTACGCTCTATAGAAAATGTGGCGTATGACATGACTGACAATCTTTCGAACGTTTTATCTAGGTACAAAGATGTTTTACGTTTTCGTCGCCTCCACATGATATTTTTGTCAGCATAAGGTACCCTTCTATATCTGAAACGAATATAAATATTGCTACAAAGTAAAGTAATAGGCTATACAAGTCCCTCTACTGGGCACAGGACACTTTTTTTTATTTCTGAGAGGGTTTTAGGGCAAGGAAATGCCCGCCGTGCTTCCCCAATGCGTGTTGACGAAAATTGCAATTACAAATTTCATTCGTGCTGTCGGGGATCAAACCCGGGAAAATTTACAGCGAACGCTTTGACGACATATTTTTAATACGACACAAATAAATATGATTTAACATATTTAATAAAAATTCTTACGTACTTGAAACTTGAACACTTGATAGCTCGTGATGCCTACCGGACAAAGCTACAGCACCACACCGTGCCATGTAATTGAAGATGCGTAACCGCGACATAATTCTCAGTGATGCGCAAGCATAACAGGCAGTATGTCACTTATATAATTGTCATCTCTGCAGTCTGTTAATCTTTGCACTTTTATAAGTAATACAGAACGTAGTTGCTAGACGGTGCTGACATCGCCTAAAATCTCTGCCATCGCCGTTTCGTCAAGGTCATTCAGGCTAGTTAAAGCCTTAATTAAACTTCCAGAAAGTTCTACGATATGATGCGCTGTGATTGGTCGAATTTTTCTTATATGCTTAAAGTTGTTTATATCAATTATTGTTAAAACGACATTCTATACAAATATATTAAGAGTTGTAAACACACTGTAAAACCATATTAATACACAATCTGCTCGATTTCGTTGCTAATTTCACTTTTTATACAAAACAATATTCTTTCATCACTTTTTACTGAAAGTCTTTAGGCCGACGCGAACATCATGAAAAAATTCTTCTACAAGAAGGGTAAACTTTACTTTTTCGTGTATCGGTATAATTTTACAATGGCTAAAAGGTTATGGTAATCTGATTCTTTATATTGTTTTTTAATATTATCCGGAACTATAGTTTTTAGAATACGTGACTGCAGTAAATAAATATGTTCTAAATGATCTACTTTTGACTCCAACAGTGATTTATATAGCTGTATAAGAATTTTATATGGAATTTTATATTTAATTACGGAAAATTTTGCAAGCATACCACGAAGTGTTAATCTTTATATATAAAAATTACGTGTTACGTTGTTTGTCCCCGATGGACTCCTAAACTACTGACCTGATTTCAATGAAATTTTGCACACTGTGTCCATTTTGGTCCAACTTGAGAGATAGGATAGTTTTTATCCCGCTAAATGACCTTCAAAAGTTTTTATTCCTAATTTAAGGATTTTTATAGGAAGGGTCGTTGGCCAGCTATATAGTTTAGTTTAGTTTACGACGGGCTGTTTTCCGCAACTCCACGTCTATGCGCGTATTTTGCGTGTGGGCAGGAATAATGTGATTATTCGAGCCATGAGATCTCTCCGAAGAAGCTCAACAGGCCCTTGATGTTGCATGCAACTTCGGGGAGTGATCCCGGCGTGCCGAGATGTTTAGCCCTGTATGTAGCGACCTCCGGACATTTCAGTAGCACGTGGGCCGCCGTTTCTTCCTCCCCCATACATGCCCTGCACAGGGGACTATCTGTAACACCTATAGTAAATAAATGTTTGTTAAAGGTGCCGTGTCCTGTGATAGCACTTGTTACTATCCTAATCTGCGGCTTGTTCAGTCTCATTAAAACTTTTGTTAAGCGACTGTTAATTTCAGGCAGGGCATCCCTAGCTTGTCTACAGTCTACTAGATTTTTCCAAAGCTGAGCGTGTTGATTAGTGAAGTGTCTACGTACCAGTGAACAAACGTTACCAAAGGGGATTGGTATGATTGGTTCCGGCCCTATAGTGGCCAAAGCCGATCCTCTTCTAGCCAGTTCGTCTGCTGCATCGTTGCCTCTGGATCCACTGTGTCCCTTTATCCATTGCAGGGTCACATTGTTGTTTTTACATACCTCATTTAATCGTTGATGGCATTCATATATTAGTCCCGAGTTCACCACATTGCATCTCAGGGCTTGGAGTACCGCCCTACTGTCGGTCAGTATTCTGATGGGGAAGTCATTAACCTTCCTAGCATCTATTGCTATGGCCGCTTGAATGATACCCATACATTCCGCCTGAAAGACCGTGTTATAGGTACCCAGCGGTGTGCATATGTGAATATTGAGGTCTTCAGAGAAAGCTCCAGAACCTACACCTTCATTTGTTTTAGAACCATCGGTGAAAATTCTAAGCTCTTTTGGGCTTAATCCTTCCGGCTGGCTGTTTTCATTTAACTGTATCTTGTATTTCTTATCGAAAACAAATTGTTTAGGAATCCTATCGTATTTGGCTTGTAGGATAGGAATTTTTGAGTGAATTCTATCAATTATGCCTGTATGAGGGACACTATTCTTACTCCAAAGATTTAGGGTCTTGAGTCTGATGGCAGCTAAAGTCGCTTCTTGTTGTATATGTAAATGAAGCGGAGTTAGCTCCAGCATCGCTTCTAAGGCTGCTGTTGGCGTAGTTCTCATGCAGCCTGTGGCAGCCATACATGCCAGTCTCTGGTAGCGCTGAAGCTTTTTAATTATGGTGGCTTCATTTGTCTTGGTCCACCATACCAGAGCGCCGTATGTGATCATGGGCCGAATTACAGTTTTGTAAAGCCACAGTATGATTTTTGGCGTCAATCCCCATCTTTTGCCAATCATGTTTCTGCATTGCCAGAAAGTTATACTAGCTTTGTTGATTTTGTTTTCTATGTGTTTATTCCAGTTAAGTTTGCTGTCCAAGGTAAGACCTAAATATTTTACCTCAGAGGATAGCTGGAGTTTTGTGCTAAAAAGACTTGGAGGATGATAGTTATTCAGCTTTCGTTTTTGTGTGAACATAACTAAAACCGTTTTATTTGGATTGACGGTTAAGTCGTGTTCCCTGCACCATCTCTCCACTATACGGAGAGCCGCTTGGGTCAGGTCGCACACTATGCTTGCTGTCTTTCCAGAGACCAGTATTGTCAGGTCATCAGCATAACCTACTGTATAGAAGTGATTGTCATTTAATTTGCTGATGAGTTCATTAATGACCATATTCCACAGGAGAGGTGAGAGAACCCCACCCTGCGGGCAGCCTTTCTTAATTTGGATTGGTTGAGATTCACTAGCAATCTTTATTATTCGTGTACTGAGCATGTAAACTATCCAGTCGATCAGTGCCGGTTCAACTTTGTGTCTACCGAGTGCACCTTTTATGCTGGAGAAGTTCGTTCGGTCAAAAGCACCTTCTATATCTATGAAGGAACCTAAACATATTTCTTTGTTTTGGATGGCCTCTTCAATCTTTTTAATTACCTTATGAAGGGCCGATTCTGTTGATTTGCCTAGACTGTAGGCGTGTTGCTTGTCGTGTAGTGGTAAGTTCATTAGCGCCGACCCCCTTAATTCCCTTTCACACATCCTCTCCATCGTCTTTAGGAGAAAGGATGTGAGGCTAATGGGCCTGTAGGATTTAGGGTCAGTGTAGTCGCTCTTACCTGGTTTGGGTATGAATGTAACTTTCACTTCCCTCCATCCCCTAGGAACATATTTAAGAGCAAGACAGGCTCGAATTATGGCAGCAAGTCTGACTATTAGGGCTTTACCCCCCCACTGTAGGAGTGCCGGGAATATGCCGTCGGGTCCTGCCGCCTTATAGGGGAGGAAACTGTGAATGGCCCAATGGATTTTGTCCATCGTTACCACTCTCTGTGCTAAATTCTTCTGCTGTTGATGTCAGTATGTCGTCATGCCGGTTTGCCTCCTGGGTTACGCAGCAACCTGGGAAGTGCGTTTCAATTAGGATGCGTTGGGCTTCATCCGGCGATGTTGAGTAGCTACTGTCGGGTTTCTTTAGAGACATGGATCCCGACGTGTTCTGTTTAGCTAGAATATTCCTAATCCTATTTGCTTGTTTGCAGGTTTCTATGTTGCCACAGAATTTACGCCACCCAATCGAGCGTCGATACCTGATACATTTTTTGTATTCAGACTTAGCTTTCTTATATAATAGCCAGTCTTCATCCATTGAGGTATTCATGGCCCTATTTAGAGCTTTTCTTACCTTCTTACGTTTTCTATCGAGTTCTTTACCCCACCACGGTTGTTTTACCTCGGCATGTCTTGGTGGAGTGATTTCTGGACATGATTCATGGTAGCTGTCTATCATGGCCTTAGTAACAGCTGCTACCTGTTCTTCTAGGAGCGACTGATCTGCTATAGTATTTATCCCCTCAAAATCCGCTAGCAAAGACGTCAGCCTATTTAGGTATTTTGTTTTATCTGTCTTGCGGGGATTTCTCCATGGTGGTGTAGAGGGGATATCGACCTGTAGTGCGAAGCAGATCCATCTATGGTCTGAGCATGAGGCCTCTCTCGACACATGCCATCCCGTAATTAGTTTGGCTGCTCCTTCTGTTGCAAGTGTGAGGTCGATTATAGTGCGACAGCGTTTGTTTATGAAAGTAGGTTCAGAACCTATGTTTAAAATGGTTAGGTTAGTACTAAATAAATATTCAACTAAAACTTTACCTCGTTCATTTGGTTTTTCCATTCCCCAAAGGGGATGATGTGCGTTGGAGTCCGTCCCGATCACAACCTCTAGTCCGGTCCTCTCGCAGAAGTTCACCAGCCTGCTGAGGTCATGAGGGGGAGGAGTGTCTTCCTCCGGCATGTAGACCGAGGCGACGACTAATCTACTCTCCTGTGTGTACTGTATTGCTACGGCATACATGTCTCTAGAACAGAAATCTGTTAAAGGTTGTGCACATATATCTTTAGTAGAGTAAATACACGCTCTAGGCTTGTCGTGTTCAGAGCTGTAGAATAACTTACCTTTTAGGTTGTTTAGGCCTTTAATTTTACCAGCCCCAACCCATGGCTCCTGGATTAAGGCTATGGCAGTCCTTTGAACCTCCAACCACTTGCGTAATTGAGCCGACGCAGTTTCGCTGTGGTGGAGGTTGGCCTGCACTAGGCTAGTTTTGGACGAAGGGCACGCCATCATTGATCGCGTCCTCCCCGTCCCCGCCCAAAAATAGGCCTGCCAGAAGATCTCGGGTTTCATCGTCAGCCACCGAGTCGGAGGTGGTCGGCAAAATGCAGTCCTCCTCGTCACTCAGTGAGCTGCCGCTGAGCCCAATCTCCACTGGGGGCTTCGGCTCAATTGTGCAGGCCGTTTCTTCACTGGACTTGGCCTCCAGTGATTCCGCTGTACCGGTAACTATGGCTCCGGTATCCATAACTTCCGGGTTGTTTTCTACCTCTTTGCTCGGTGGAGTATCAAAGAATTTGCCTCCACGACCCTGGAATTTTACGTATACCGCCCCGCATACACATGCGAGACGGCGTCCGGCCTTCATCAGGGTCGGGATATGATCCTCCGGCACCGAAACAACGAGGAACCACCCGTCCGTCTGCTTATCTGCCTTGAGTAACAGCCAGTCCCTGATGTTAACCCAGCGGTTCTGGTACGCCAACACGCGACCAATGTCGCGTGAGTCTTTCCAGGCCCCCTGGGCATCAGGGATAAGGATACCACATTTGACTCTTTGTGGTATCTCTGACTGTTTCTTTATTGTCAGCAAGGTGCTGGATTTAAGGTCGAGGGTAGCAATGTTCCCCTTCAACCAGTCCAGAGCCTTCTGATCGTCGCACCACAGTTTCAGGACACCTTCCGTATAAACGGGTTTGCCCCTAAAAACTGGGCCCGACGCATCAGGGTCCTGGCTACTCCAGGCCTCGCTGATCATCTTCCTCTGTATTGCTACGAGGATGTCGTCTGCTACTTCCTTCGTAATGTGACCTGAACGCGCACACGTTAAGGCCACACCCAAATCTGCTTTAGCAGCGGAAGCGTAGCTCGTTCTTGCAGTCTTTGGTTGCTGTTCGAGTCGCACTTTTTTGTGTTCACCTCTAGGCGAGGTGGACTCTTCCAGCGTCCTTTTGGCTGCTCTTTCCTTCTTCCCAGGACGCTTGGCCGCTCGCTGCTTCCTGGCGGATATCCTAGAGCTGGTTCCCGAGTCCGCGACTTCCACTTGGGCTGGATTTTTATCCTTCCCAGCTTCAGCGCGGCTACTGGTTCCAGCGCCAAGCACCTCAGTCGCAGTAGCTTGCCCAGCCTCCATGGTTTTGGTATCTGGAGCAGCCAATGCGGCTCGTTCTCTACGGCCTTTTTCCCGCTGCTTCTTGTTCTTCTTTTTGGCCTTTCCACTACTGCCTGCAGGGATAGACCCTCCTGATGGTCCGTCAGGTCGGCAAGTCACCTTTTTGGGTGCCTTGCCTTTCCCCTTACGGCTCACCACTTGCCAGGCAGCAGAGAAAAGTTCGTCAGTCCGTAGTGGCTCCGCAGTTTTATCACTTGCGGGCTCTTGTTTCTTTTTCTCTTCCAGCTCCTTGGAACTGGTTTTGGAAACGTTCAGCGAGGTTATCCCTTTGGTGGGGGCACCTACGCTGGACGGTACTGTCCGTGGAACCGTCGGTTTAGTGACGGTTCCCTTTTGTTCTTTGGTGTCTCTGGTAAGCACCTCTGACACCGCTCCCTCTTTCTTATTGGGCCTTAAATTGTCCATAATTTGTGTTTTTTAAAATTCATCACCCCGGCTTCCCACCCTCCATGGAGCCCGCACCTTTGGGAACGCCCTACTTTAGAAGCAAAAGGAATTTCAGGCGTTAGGATTACCGGGAGAATATAGGGACGCGAAGTTGGCTCACAGCGCGACATCGGGAGCTCGATCCAGCTGGTAGATGGGGCTGACAAGGCCCATCCCCACCACCCGAATAAACTGTCACTTGCTCCGTCAGCATGGCCTTTACCACCACCCAGCCCCCTTTTCAGGAAGACTAGGCAGCCCCCACATCCCTCGCCTGCGACCCTCTGACGGGGCGCTTGGCCATTTCCCTATCTGTGGCTAGCAGATAGGGCCACCGTTTAGCTTGAAATCCGGACCAAAGAGGGCGTGTTGCCTCTCGCCACTATATACCCCAGCGACGATCGGCTCAACCCTCCAGGACTCCTTCATCCCCGCGTACGGCGCTCGACTGCGCAGGTCCTAGCGCAGGTGGGTGTGTTAGTCCACCGGATACACCCACTCTCTCCGGCGGATTCGTCCCCTCCTCCTTTCTCATCCGGGCTTGGGACCGGCAACGGCGGAGTTTACTTGGCCAGCTATATATATATATATATGTATACATATATATACATAAATATAATTTATAATTACCTATTTTTTTACTATTATTTTTAATAACAGTTGAAATGTCATTAAAAGAAGACTTATTTGATTCAACATGTTCTTCTCTTAACATCACTTCAGCCAAAACGAAATTCGCATCTACTAATTGCTTTAATATATGCCACATAAATGCGCAAAGCATCCCTTCCCATTATTCAGATCTGCTTAACACATTTTGCTCGCCATGCATACATGCTCTACTTATTTTTGAATCCTGGCTAAACCCTCCCTTTCCTCCACGTTGTACAGTCTTCCTGGATTTGTACTTATAAGCTCTGATCGCACTGGCAAAGGTAGTGGCGGCGTAGCCATTTATTTGTGATCGGATCGGGATGCATATAATATCATTATAATATCAGAATTGGAGTATAGAGGATCTGCTGAGAACCTATTTCTAGAAGTAGATATTAAGGGTTTGATGATCGTTGCACGGAATTGTTTACTGCCCTCCTTCAACTGATTATTTTTCCCATATTGAATCTGTGATTGACTCCATCAGCACAATTAACAAACATATTATAATAATGGGTGACTTCAACACTAAATTACTAAAGGATTCCCCTTACAGTCTTCAACTAATAGCTATCATAGACTCAGCAGATCCCTATATTCTTCCATCTGGTGCAACTCACCACAACGTGGACACCGAAGATTCATGGCTAGACATCATTTGCACTAGTTCAGCGGGTCATGTTTTAAATATCATGACACATTTTTCTGGTCATGTCATATAAAAGAAAGACTCCTCCCCCCAAGCCAAGACCAGTAATTGTGGATTTACGTAATTGTAATAAAATTGACACCATTCAACTAGATCGCGATGCTAATAATATATAATGGGGCCCATTGTTGGAGGCAAATAATATTGACGACAAAATTGTTCACTTTAACACCCAAATTCTCGACTTATTCGAATGGCATTCACCAGTTCGAGCAGTAAAGTTACGCTGACCTCCTGCACCGTGGATAACTGATGAAGTGCGTAATCAGGTGGTAAGAACTGCCAAACGCCGCTACATCCACAAAAGTATTTTAAACTGCTCCTCTGCAAACATATGGAAATTCCTTAGTTCCCTGGGATTTGAAAAATCAAATTCCAATTCTCTAATTCCAAATATTTCACTCAATGACTTGAACATACACTTCTCTTCTACTTCGCGTCCGCATTATTCCACTAAAGTTACAACTCTCTAGGAACTTAGTACCATGCTATTGCTATCGAGTAATTCTTTCAACTTCAGTTCAGTGACTGATGAGGATACTAGAAAAGCTTACATACTTTCAATAAAATCTTCCGCAACCGGCTATGATGAGGTGAGTAGATCTATGATACTTCTCATACTCAATATCATACTCCAGTTCTCACTCAAATCATCAATTTTTCACTTTCTACTGGTGTTTTCCCTAAATTATGGCTAAAATCTTTTGTCTTGCTCCTTGCTAAAGTACCAAATCCATCGCTTC